GCACAGTGATGTCTGTGTGATGATGGTTCATATGGAAACAAAATATCATGAGTGTTTCCTAACAAAAATTCTTGGAGACTCTCATTGTTTATGGAAAATGTTACTTAGAAAAAAATGTTAGTTTCTCTTTTACATTTAAGTGATAGACTTTTAGTTGTATATGTAAACAACTATCAAAAAATATTTACAAAACTGAATACTGGTTGCTACATAGGATTTTATAATCAATGCAAAAAGAAAATCTTGCTTGTTCACTTTTTTCTTTTCTTTTCTTTCTCTCTCTTTTTATAGACAGGGTTTCTCTGTGTAGCCCTGGCTGTCTTGGAACTCGCTCTGTAGTCCAGGCTGGCCTCGAACTCACAGAGATTCAACTGCCTCTGCCTCCTGAGTGCTGGGATTGAAGGCATACCCTGGCACCACCTGGCTTTCCTTCACCTTTTTAAATACCTTTTCTTCACCTTTTCTATACAGTCATAGTCTGGCATTTTTTTAATGTACAGTTATTTACATATTCATGTGTGTTTGTGTCACAGTGTGCCTGTGGGGTCAGAGAATGGCTTGTGGGAGTTGGTTGGCTCCCTGCACACTGTGGATCCTGTAACTTTAACAGGTCCCCAGGGGTAGTGGCAAGATGGCACTAACCGATGGCAGAGGCATCTTGATGACCCATATGCTGGACTTTGTTACAATACAACATTCTTTTGAACCAGTGTCAGACAACATTTATCCTCAATTCAATATGAACACACATTTGTGTGTGTGTGGGGTGTGTGTGTGTGTGTGTGTGTGTGTGTGTGTTGTGCATGCACATGAATATGTGGGGCACACATGAGCCCATGCAGAAGTCAGAACAGGGGATGGGTGTTCTGCTCCACCACATCTGCCTTGTTTCCCTGAGACAGACTCTCAATGAACTGGAAGCTGGCCATTTGAGCTAGGGTTGTTGGCAGGTGGGCTATTGGGATCTACCTGCCTTCCCAACTCATTGCTGGCATTTTAGGAGCCTGCAACCTTATCTGGCTTTTACCTGGGTGCTGGGGATTTGAACTCAGGCACTTGGGCTTGCAGAGCAAGCACTCTGACCCTACTGAACTCTCTCCCCAACCCCATGCACTTTTAAAATTTTGAGACAGGATCTTACTTTGTAGTCCAGGTTGACCTGGAACTCAAGATTCTCCTGGTGTTGGGATTACAAGCAAATTCAATACAAAAGCATATTCACAGAGAAAACTATTGACAGTTCCTTGCATGTTAAATATAGTTACTATCCTACAGCACAGTTTTGGGTGTCATTTACCAAATACTTCCAGGGTACCTACCAAACAATACCAAAGTCTGAGTGTCAGATGTCTTACAAAGATGAATGCCCTCCATAGGATGTTTTTAAAAAAAGATTTGCTTATTTTAGTTTCTTTGTGTATGAGTGTTTTTGTCTGCATGTATGTAAGTGTACCACGTGTACCCTGGTACCCAGAGAGTTCAGAAATGGGCATCATATTCCCTGGAAATGGAGTTACGGATGATTGTGAACCACCATGTGGGTGCTGGGAACTGAACCCAAGTCCTCTGGAAGAGCAGCCTGTGTGCTTAACTGCTGAGTCATCTTTCCAGTCCCCTTCAGAGAATCTTAAATTTGACTGATGTACATATGTGCCTCATCGTATTAGTGATTGAAATAAAAATACTTATATGGAGGCAGGCATAGTGGAGTACACATTTAATCCCAGCACTTAGGAGGCAGAGGTAGGCAGATTTCTGTGAGTTCAAGGCCAGCCTGGTCTGGTGAGACCCTATCTCAAATATTCAAAAAAGCAAACAAAAGAAAACAAAAAACCTCTCTTCCCAAGTGAGTCTAGGCTTCGGAGAGTTGACAACTAAAGACTAAATACCACACCTTCTGATTGTAGCAGTATCTGTGGTTAGAATGTCTTTGTCTGGGGGGATGGTTGCATATGTGTAAGTGTGTTTGCGACTGGCTGCCCGCCCTACGTGTGGAGACTAAGGTTGGTGTCAGGTGTTTTCAGTCATTGTTCTCCATTCTTCGTTTGTTTTTGCTTTTTGAAACAGGGTTTCTTTGTGAGCCAGGTTTCCCCGGCTGTCCTGGAACTCCCTCTGTAGACCAGGCTGGCCTTGAACTCACAGAGATCTGCCTAGCTGGTATTGTGTCCATTATTATGTTTTTTTGTTTGTTTGTTTTTGGTTGGTTGTTTTTGTTTGTTTGTTTGTTTGTTTGTTTGTTTTGTTTTGAGACGGGGTCTCTCTACATAACCCTGCTGTCCTTGAACTTGCTATGAAGATCAGGTGTCCTTGAACTCACTGAGATCCTCCTGCCCCACCACCCCAGCCAGCTGCTGGGATTTAAAGTGTGTGCCACCATGCTTGGCTGTGCCTGGCTCTTTATGCTGAGAATCTGAACTCAGGCCACGATGTTTGTGCCACAAGCACCTTACTCCGCCATCTTCTCAACCCTGTAATGTTCACTCTTTGTTTTATTTTCATTTTTCAGGACAGGGTTTCTCTGTGGAGTCCTGGCTGTCCTGGAACTCACTCTGTAGACCAGGCTGCCAACCCAGAGATGCACCTGCCTCTGCCTCCCAAGTGCTGGGATTAAAGACCTATGCCACTACTGCTTGGCTCACTTTCTTACTTTATAGGATACCAGAGAACTTACCAAGACATGCCTGCTCCGTGGATTGTACCACTTCTGTTTGCAGCGTGCACTTTGAACATTTCTTGAGTAACTTGAGCTGGAATGGGTGTAAATTTATATATCTATATGGATCAGCCTTATAAAATTATACTTACTATTTTTATCAGTAACAACCCAGTATGTAAATGAACTATATAACAATTTCTTTTTTTACCTACCACCTACTCATGCTGATAAGGATACCACAATTAGTATATCTAGCATTTAATGGGAGGGTTATACTTAGTAATGTATTAATGAGGCAAAAATAATTATGTTTAGAAGCCAAGAGCTCTTTGAAAGGTGATGTATGATGTGGACTCATTGTCAACTCCAAGCCAGGTTCTATATCTGCTAAGAATCATTTAGTCTCATCTCCAGGTGATCCTATATTTCATTAAGTCTTGGAATCCTAGATGGCTTGTTTTCTGTCATTATTTACTTTATGAATGCTATCATATGTCTGGAATGTATCAGGTCTACTCACCTTTGCAGTAGTTTTTGTTTGGTGCGGTTTTTCCCTGCTGGAAAATGAACTTCTCGTCTCTTCGATAAAGCACCCGGTGAAGAATACCTGCTCTTGTGATACGCCTCAGGGGCTGTGCTTCTCTTGGCAAGGTGAGGTTGATCAACATGTGATGTGCTTGCACATAGATGCCAGAGGTCAACCTCTGGTGGTGTTAGGAATTATCTATCTTGTTTTTTTGTCTCTCACTGGGGCCTGTAGCTCCAGGATTAGGTTTGACTAGCTTCTCTGTGAGTCCTAGGAGTCCATTTGTCTCTGCATTCTGAGTGTGGGGATTACAAGTACATGTCTCCCTGCCTAGATTTTTCCGTGGGTTATGGGAGTTGAATTCAAGTGTTCATATTTGTGTAGCAAGCACCTTAGCAATTGGGCTCTATCCCTAGCCTCAGGCAACACATTTTTAAGCAATAATTCAGAACTAGGGAACATTAGACACTAGAAGCAAAAGTTTTGTTTTGTTTGGAGACAGGGTCTTGTTATTTTCTGTAGGGTGGCCTCACACTCAAGGTCCTCTTGCCTTAGCCCACTCTGCTAGGATTAGGAGTATGGCAGCACCGATAGCTTGGAAGCAAAAGTTTTAGCTGGTTCCTATAACAACCTGCAAAAATTGTGCACAAATAACAGTATAGTGAACCTCTCTATTCAAGAATTATCTACCATATGCTGTTATGATTCTGTATGTTAGGTATAGAACCTATCCTATATATCTCCTTACCATCTATTTCCGTGGGGTGTTGGAGAGATGGTTCATGGGTTTAGAGCACTTGTTGTAATCACAGAGGGCCGGGGTTTGGTTCCCAGTATTCCCAAGGCACCTCACAGTCATTGTAACTCTGGTTCTAGGGCATCCAACGCTGTCTCTCTTCTGGTCTCTGTAGGTTCTGCACACATGTGATGTGCATACAGGCACACACACACATACACACACACACACACACACACACACACACACACACACACACACACACAAATACAATTCTAAAAACTATTTCTCAGCCAGGCGGTGGTGGCACATGCCTTTAGTCCCAGAACTCGGGAGACAGAGGCAGAGTTCGAGGCTAGCCTGGTCTACAGAGCAAGTTCGAGGGCAGCCATGGCTGTTACACAGAGAAACCCTGTTTAAAAAAAAAAAATCCTCCTCCCACGTGTGTGTGTGTGAGTGTGCGCGCTTGCTTGCTTGCTTGCTTGCTTGCTTGCTTGCTTGCTTGCCAGTGTACGTGTCTGTGGATTAGTAGCTTGCTGGAGGCTGTATGTTAGCCAAGCGACAGAGTGAACTTTAGACCCCCAACCAAAGCCTCCTTTGCTTTCATTGTTGTGGAATTAAATCGTTGACCAGACTCTGGGATGTTAAACTTTCTTTCTTTCTTTCTTTCTTTCTTTCTTTCTTTCTTTCTTTCTTTCTTTCTTTCTTTCTTTCTTTCTTTCTTTTTTTTCCCTAAAAATCACGTGGTGCTCTTGAACAGAATGAAGATTTCAGAAATCTGGGGTAGAGGTTGTGAGGTTCTACACAATCAGCCCCCGGCACCAACACTAGGATGTGGAATCAAACTAAAACCACTCAAAGGAGAACAAGCATGTGTTTGTTCAGGGCTTGCTAGGCAAGAGGGCCAATCATCATCCCTTGTCCTTCCCAGAGGCTCAAAGCAGGCAGGGACATGAGAAGGGTGTATAAAAATAGAAGAAAAAGAAGAGGAAGAAGCAAGGAGGCGGGGCAGTGGCAGCCTCCACCTCTGCCACCCTAGAAATCTGATTGGAGGGTGTTGGCTGGGAAAGCCGGGGGTGGGCTACAAACGTGTGTGATCCGTTTTGACATATTTATATTTCCCGGGTTGATCCAGGAGTGGAAGTGGGGGTAGAAACAGAAGTTGGCTTCCGATTGTTCTGGTGCAATTTCAGCAGAGGTTGTGGTTGTTCGGTTTTCTGCGCTTCCTACGTGTTTCAGAGTTCTCCCATCATGTAAGGTATGGCCATTATGTGTCTGTATACTCTTTCATTCTGACAGTACTCGAAGAACCACCTTAGTCCTCTTATTCTCTCAGTTCTCTTATTTCACCCTGACCTTCCAGAAAGCTCCGTGGCAGCCGTCAGACCTGATTACCAGTCCCCAGGTTTACGAGGTGCTCCTAAGTCATTCAAAATCTTGCTGATAGAAACCATGTGATACTTAGCTTTTGTTGCAACAAGAACGTGGACTTTCTGGTGTGGCACAATGGGCACCACCCGAAGCCTGGAGGTTGCCCCTTGCAGCTGCTTGTGTTCTAACACAATAACTTGAATCTTGGTGTCTGGTCTCAGCCTTGATCCAGGCTATCCCCACTTTTCCTGGAAGCTTCCAGGTTAACTCCTGCTGTGCTAAGCAGCCCCGAGGCTCCTTCCTGCGCGCTCTGCTGGAGGCAGCATGGAGTTTGTGGGAGAGCGGCTACTTGTGGCATTTGAAGGCAGCCCTAATCCCAGACCTTAGTTTCGCTGCCTTCTCTGGGCACTCTCTCTCTCTCCCCGCACCCCTCGGGCCTGGGCTGGCAGGAGGTCTCCAGAGAGGGAGAGAGAGAGAAGGTACCGGTGCACACTCCCCTCCGCCGTTAACTGGGGACTCGGAGCTGATCCAGGAGCAGGCGGTGCGATGGGCGTGAGCGCGCCAGCCGAGCTGGGCTGACCGCTGGACGCGGCCCACCTGCCGCGGGAGCCGGC